GGCAAGAAAGAGGAGAAGAGCAGAAGAAACAACAGCAAAATTAACAGACAAATTACCAGGACTTCATTATCATAAAAAGGCAGTTGTTCAGAAAAGTGCGAGACCCATTCTAGTAATCTGCCCCTTTCTGGAACTGAGAAATATGACTGGGGAGGACAGGAGGCCGGTTTGGCTCTGTCTTCTCATAGTGCTGTCTGCAAACAAACATCGTAACTCCTCATGCACCAGAGGGGAAAGAACAGACACAGTAGAAAATGGAGAAAAAGTGAGGGAGACACCATGGCTATTTCACACAGAGTTACTCACACACAATGGAAGAGGAAGGAGTTCAGGGAGTTACAGCAGGCGACTGGGGTGCGCTTGCTGCAACCTGAGAAGTGGGACTCTCTTACCTTAGAACTGTAATTGATTTGTCTGATTTACCAGAACAACAGTAAGCCATGTACCAGATCCATTTTGTTGCCTGTTTTACACTCTATCTGCAGGAGATTGTATTTATTACAGAGCAGACTACAACAAAAACAATAATAAATCCAAGATAAGCAACAGCCTTATATTCCACTGACACGCACATTCCAACTTCTTGTGTGCTGGTGAGGGACTGGAGACAGGATCAGGGCAAAAAGAACCCACTAATAATGGAATTGTGGGTGTATGACGTGAACCAGTCACCACAGAAACCATGCTCCAAATCTAATCAGATCCACTGCCAAGTCGGTCAAATTCTCAGTTGGTTTCACATTCATAGGAAAATCCTTGTCTAAAGGAAACTGGACAGATGATCGAGTGAGGGGGCAATGACCAGGACTTGTAATACCCACTTCCTTCACCTTGAAAAATTAAAACTAAAGGAAACTAGTAACTTCTTCAGGATTTAAATGACCAGACTGACAGTATGTTTTCCCTTAGTGGCTACCCTGAAAACAGGTGCAAAAGATGCAGAAGAGCCAAGTTTTAAAAAGCCCTAGCCAAAAGGTAGGGTTCATTCAGTTGGCATTACACCGAAGCTGTGTACCTTATGGAAAAACACCAAGTTGACATTAACATCAAAAATCATCTGTACTAACAGGTAAACAGAAAACAAAACCACAAGTTGGGAGCCACCATGACATTTTTGAAAAGTTAAAAAACTGTTCTGAGCTTTCAATATGGAAAGGGACAACAGGCTTAACTGAGATAGTAGAACACAGAGTAAAAACACACATGTAGCCCTGACTGCTAGGGCTCAGCTGGCTGGGCATCGTCCCACAAGTGAAAGTTCACTGGTTTGATCCCCGTCCAGGGCACACCCCTGGGTTGCAGGTTCGGTCCCCAGTTGGTGTGCCTTTTAAGGCAACCTACTGATGTTTCTCTCCCTCTCTTTCTTTCTCCCTTCTCTTCTCTCTAAAAATAATAAAATCTAGAAAGAAAGGAAAGGAAAGGAAAAAGGGAAAAGGGAAAGGGAAAGGAGAGAAAGGGAAAGGAAAGGGAAAGGAAAAAACACTTAGTAGCAAAAAAAAAAAAAAAAAAAAAAAAAAGCCAGTTCAGTCCTAGGGAAAGCCAATAAAGGGACATAAAAAAAAAAAGCCTGCTTGTTTCACCACCAAAGAGACCAGCGTCTCACTTGCCAAAAAAAGGCAGCCATCCTCTCACTCCTGTGCTTGAAGCACTGACTTTCCACCATTGAAGTCAGCCAGGCAGGCCTTGCACTTGCTAAGTCTTTGTAAGAGGCATTTTAATGCATTCTGACCCTTACATGTTGAAATCACTTTTAAAAATACAAAAGAAATATGGACAATGAGGTAGAAACTCAACTCTAAATGCTGGAATCCATTAAAACTAGAACTTTACAGGTGATCTGTCTCACAAGCATGATATATAATCTCTTCTATACAGCATATTTCTTGAGAGTATTAGCTTATAAAAACAGGGTGAGGCAAAAGTAGGTTTACAGTTGTATCCACTTTCAAATACAATCATTAATAAATTCTGTCCCACCCTGTATGTCCACCCCCAAGGGTGGGACTAAAGGTGGGATGAGGTACTATGCACAAATACCAGTTCATGGTCAATTATTTTGGTAATATATTACATATATACTGTCAGCCTAACAAAAGCTAAGATGGGGGTCATGAAGTAAGGGGAAAGAGGAACACATTTAAAAATCACAATGAGGTTAAAAAACTTCTATGAAACTATTATATGTGTGTATTCCATGGACTTTACTGCAGGTGTTCCATCTTCATCTAGCTGTAAGCTATTTGCCTGCCTGACGCCCATACGCCTACTTGTCCCTCAGACACTATCACCAGCATGCTTCAGGAAGCTGGAAACAGATACATCTCACTTTAAAGGCACACGGTGCACCCAACATACATATATTTAACCTGACACTTCGACAGAAAGAAAGGAAGGTTGGAAGGGGAAAAGGAAGATCTTCTATTGTAGAGGGCAGAAAAAAAAATAAAGTAAGAGCCTTGGCTGGTGTGACTCAGTGGACTGAGTGCTGGCCTGCGAATGAAAGGGTGGCTGGTTTGATTCCCAGGCAGGGTACATGCCTGGGTTACAGGCCAGGTCCCCAGTAGGCGGGCACATGAGAGGCAACCACACACTGATATTTCTCTCCCTCTCCTCCCTCCTTCCTTTCCCTTCTCTAAAAATAAATAAATAAAATCTTTAAAAAGAAAGAAAGAAAAAAAAACCCTTCCAATCTAAGCTGAACAATGCCTGATGAAAGGGAGACAAGGTCATTCTGACATCTGTTTAAATGAAATAGCTTTTTCACTTTCACTTGTCCACTTGCTCAAGCTTTTCTCTTTTATTATGTGCTGAGGAAGGTTTAATTGACATTTATTTTTAAATAACATAAGAGCAAACCGATTCTTCAATACCCAGACACAAAAGAGAATAAAGATATGCATGAAACTGAGCTACAGATGACAGGGGTGGCGGGCACATACACATGCACACACACGAAACCAAGGAAGACTATGAAGGCAAACCTCTTGCTACCAAAAATATAATGAATGAATGAGTGAATGAATGAATGAATGAATGAATGAATAGGAAGTCACCAAAACGCATTAAGACCGGAGGCAGCATAAACTTCACAGATGGCAGCAGAGACCATGAGGACACTGCGCCGGCGGGTGCTAAGAGGACAGCCCTAAAGAAAGTGTGCGTCTGCCTCAAAAACCCTGCTGAGGGCTCCCCTTGCTTCCAATGGGCGCTTTCAGCAAAGAAATGAACTCCACGAGCAAAAAAAAAAAAAAAAAAAAAAGGCGCGCCATCCTCAAGGTTTCATTCAACTTCTAGAAGGCCTTGGATTGTGAGCCTGGGCACATCTGGCCCTAATGTAGAGGGATCACCATTGTGCTTTCCAAAACAGGTCCTTGTAACTTTCCCCCCTGGGGCTGAACAGCCAAAAATTTGTCCTTTGATTATCCCAATATCTTCACCAAAATAATAATATTAAGGAAAATACTGTTAATAATGTCACAGCAGGTCCATACAGAAATTAATATATGTACACTGTAATTCAGCAAGGTAAGCCATAGGCCTGACACATCACAACTGTCATCAATGATTGGATACAACTTAGTCACCTGTGGCTCAAAGGCCTTTAGCAACAGGTTTGTGGACTGCTCAGAACTCTCTACTAGGAAGAATGCGTATCAATGTATCTCACTCACTAAAGAGAGGCACAGCTTCTTGACAAAAGTCCAATTAATGTAGGTAACAGTGTTTAACCTGTAATCTGCAGTGACTGGCCCAGAGAAAGAAAAGATCAAAAGAACCCCATCGCTTAGAAGGAACAAGGTACCACTCTATCTAGGCGAGGGTGAGCTGGTCAGACAGACACATTTATGACATGCAGTCACAAGGAACATCAGGCAAAGTCTCAGCCAGGCTTGGGAAGACAATATAGCAGGAAGATACAGTATTCTATTTCATTTCTGCCGTGGGTCAGGCTGAGCTCTAGCAGCTTTTGTTTACAGTTGCATTTACTTCCTGGTACCTAAGGTAAGCTTCCTGTAAGATTTACTAGCTCCTCCTCACCACCCTCAGGCTACACGGTCCTTCCTACACATGCCCTGAATCCCCTCTTTAACCATCAGTGACTATGGAAGTTGAAATGGATGGTGTATCCCAGGAACAGTGGGTGAACCGATGAACCAACAAGCCTTTCCAGGGCAGATGATCAAAATCAACACCTCAAATGCTCACTAAAGTTGGTTTTATTTCTCTTTATAGTAGTTGCCGCTATCTGATTTTGCCATTGTCTCTCTTTCCCATGTGCATGTAGAGACTTTATCAGTTTTGTTCATTATTATAGCCTCAGTGCCTAGACCAGTTCTAGGCACAGAAGAGCACTGAAATATGTGTTGAACAAGTGAATAAATCCTACCCACTAACAAAGGTATCTATTCAGCCAAGGGATCCTACTTGTGCAAGGGCAGAGTCCTAATCACTGAATACTCATTCAGACACAGACTTTTGGGAGCTCAAAAGGGTATCGTCTTCTATTCTTCGGGAGCATCTACATCCGTTAGCTCAAAGGATACTCCCACTTGGAAGCAACCTCCAAAAAAAGAAGTTTGAGGAAATGATGATACTTAAACTTGTCCTAAAATCTGTACTTAACTTTTCCCCACTGAGACGTTCCACTCATAGTGAGAATTGAACGGGGATTTTACAAAGAAATAATTTTTATTGTAATGCAACTGGAAGGAAATACCTATCTTCTAAGTCATAATAATTAAAAAATGATAAAGCAACACAGTGACAGTTCAGGTGATGAAAGAGGAGGTTAAGTTTAAGCCCTATTTTCAATTCTGCTTTTCCAGAATATAAAACATTATCTCTATAGATGCATAGGCAACAGCCCTGGAAAAATTCACATTCAGCGCCTGAAAACAAATGAGCTCCAGAAAACACATAAGCTGAAGTACTTGGTGAATCAGCAGCTAAACTCTTGGGACCTCTGAGCCACACAGGCTCTATTCAGGGACACAACTCACCCCAGATATGTCTGCGACACGGTGGATAGGCACTTCCTTCTTGCTATGCAATCCTTTGCCATTCTTAATAGCTCTGTAGAAGAAAAAAAACCCAATTAAAAACTCACACAGGGAAGGGGTAGGAGGGTGAGAAAATCGGGTGAGAAGAGAGGTCATTCAAGTAGGGGTCTCTCACTCACCGCACAAGTCACACTGCACAGGACTGTGGAGCCAGTCTCTGCAAGAGTATCTGGTGGAGGGAAATAATAAGCCTGCTCTTCTGAACCCAGTTATCAGTACTTGGCTGCTTGTTTCAGCCAGCAGTGTGCCTGGTAATCAGCGAGCTTGTGGACCTTGTTTCCAATTACAGGCATTGTTCCAGGCACAAGAGAATCAGCTGAAACAGTACACTCTTAAGCAACAGAAGTAACAATGTTTCCTTCAGTGTTTAATCACATGAAACATTTAAAATGCAAAATATGTAGCTAGTGTTCCAATTCTAATGGAAATAAGTTCCTCCCAGGTAAAAAGATAAGTTACCCTGAATGAAGCAATATTTATGGAAAAGCCATTTAAAGGAGAGGAAAAATTAGCAAAGGCTACAAAACTGACATTAAACCTCATTTTCAATCAGTTTCAGGTTGTGATAACAGTGGATTTAGCAGAGGACTCTGGGATTCTGTCAGATATCTGTCCACTGGTTGGCGTGCTCAAATCTCCCACTTTTTTATCTTTTAATCCCTTGAATGGTAATAGGGACGGAAGCCTAGGTGTGACTGGGTTCGATCACTCATGTAACAATGAAGGACTTGTGAATAAAAACTGATGGGTAAGTCACTCAGTGACTATGCTATTAGACAAAACCTTCTTGTGTCCTGCCAGTCTGCAGACCCAAGCAGGGAACATTTCTGAGTTTAGAGAACGAGGAGCAGATATTCCACAGTGTGCCCAGCCTGGGGACCAGCATTCTGAGAGTTTCTGAATTCTAGAGAGTGCAAATTGTCCAGACTGGGGCCAGTATTTCAAGCCCTCACACTAGTGACCACACTTCCACAGTCTTTCCTCCAGGCTCTCACTAAATAACCAGCAACAGAGGACAATGCTCCACAGGGGTTATGTTCAGGTCTTCACTTCCTAAGTCAAACTCACAGAAACCAAATGAGGTGAATGTTGTTCAGTGCAAGGTGGAAAAGTGTGGGGTCAGTGGACAGACATGGCCCTACCTGTCTCATGACTGAGGGCTGGTCAGACAGCCATTGGCCAGAAGGAATGTGTCTTACTTTGGAAATGGATTGTGACTGTCTCCTTATCTCCTTTTGGGAGTGGCTTCTTGTCCTGTGACTTGCTTCTTGACCTTTCCCTTCTGCACTTGCACACTGACCTAACTTAACGTAGCTCTGGGCCACCTGCAGGTTTGTGCAACCTGGACCCGCGCTGCCTTTGTCTGGGATGCCTTACGAGGAGCCTGAGACTGGAGGAGGCGCGGTCTCTCACCCTGTCCCGCCGCTGGTGGTGCACTCCCCTATAATGTGAGTAATAAATGGCATGTCCACCTCTGCTAGTCCTCCGGGTGGATTTTTTCAGAGTAACAAGGACACTTAAACGGCTCCCGGTTTTGGGCTCATGTATTACAAACAGTCATATTTCATTATATTTCTTACATACTTGGGCCGTTACCATTCTCTCCTCACCCCTCCATCCATCACAGGGTATCTGTCTCCATGCAACAGATTTAAAATGCCTTCTGTTCAGAAACAACAAACAAATGTTTTCCTTACTATCTAGTTTTTATTCCATGATGATGGTAAGATATGAAAGTACAGAGTTAACAAGAAAAAAGAACATCATACACTCACTCTGATCTGATCTGCTAACAGAAAGAAAGCATTCCCAAGTTCCTTGAATCCCATGGCTCCCTCCCGAATTTGACTCAAGGGCTTCTTCAGCTTTAGAAATTGCAAATAGGTCAGATTCTTCCTTTTATATTTTAGTCCAATGATTTATCATTCAGGGAGCCTGTTACTGATCATGGACCAGGGCTGGTTCTCAAGGTTTGTCCCAGTCCCTTGGGATTTATAAGCTAACAGGGGAAGACTAGAGGATGGTTTATATGGGAAACCACTGGCTGGAAGCCAACAAGAGATCTAACTCATCCTCTGCCACCAACAGGCTCTCCCTTTCCCCATTCTGCCACCATAAACTCAGAGGACCTGCCTTGGGAAGAACAAAAAGCCTTTGAGGCAAGGCAAGTACACAGCCATCCTGATTTTAACTTGCCTTCCTTCAAAGCGAGGCCCGCTAAGCTTTCTGTAGGTCCTCTGGGGCCCAAACTGCCTACAGCCTTATCTTCTTCTAACAACAAGGACAACTGAAATAAATGGACCTGCCCTATAACAGTCATCATGTGAGAGCATTGCTGAACTTGTGACCTTTACTGTGCTCTAGAGAACATCTCATATACCGAAAAGGAGAAAAGGACTGGGAGTGAGCAGTAAGTTAGAAAACAGAGGTCTAGAGGCAAAGGAAGTAAAGTGATAAATTAAAATTCTGCTTTCTTTCTGTGATTCCAAAGTAGCTCTGTGCCATAGTCAGAAATCCAGGACTTAACCAAGAAGATTAAGCATGTTATCCATGGGGGAAAAAATATAATGCCCCAGACCAAAAACCATGGATAATAGTGTGAATAAGACATTTAAAAACAAACAAACCAGAGTTATTTAAAATTAAGTCTTAAAAATACTTTATGACTGATCTACCTAGTTCCTAAAAAGTATATTATCACATACTTATTTATGTTCAGGTATTAATTTTGGAAAAAACCTTCAGACATCTTTCCATACTTTGGATTGCTAAATTAAATCAATTTCAGCTACAGTCAAGAGGTACCAAGAATAGTATTACAGTATCATACATAAACTGAGAAACAGTTCTCATTGTTTAACAAAATAGAGGCAAAATTGAAAGTTAATAATTCGTAAACGCTAAGTACAAGTAATGCCCACCTATGGAGCACTCGAAAGTATAAGTGGTACACTGGCCCCAGGCTGCAAAATGTGAGGGCTCTCTGAGAAATGAGCTAAATGGTACATAATTCGGTTTGGGTCTCTTCCCTGTGCCGGGGCTGCTTTGGTTCTTGTTCACACACTGCTGCAGAAATGACCTGGGTGAGCCATCCCCAGAACACCTCCCTCGGCCTGACACAAGGCTAGCAATGCCACAGCAAGAACCTTCCCTTAGGACAGTAACTGGGGGAAGTGCTCAGTGCGGAAATTCATGCGCGCATCTCAAAGAGGAAAGGAGTAAACTCCGAGAGTGGCAGGCTTGTCCCCGTTCTTTGCCGAAAGGAATGTATTGTAATATACATCTCTTGTTCCAGGACTATACGGCTATAGCACAAGACTGCCTCCTAACAGTAGTATAATAGATGGTAAAGTCAAGACCCAGGTTCTGCTGCATTGCCACCACTTCTCAGTGGGGCTCCCCGTGCATCTTATATAACCTAGTTTCTTTGGGACAGGTTTGGGAAGCTCTGTCTTTGAGACATGGGAGGGTAAGTCAGCTAGCAGGTTTGCTTCCACTGGTAACCTGCTCCACAATGCAAACACCAACTCCCCTCCCCACATTCCCTCTCCCCGCAGGCTGCAACCACAGCTCAACATCCCTTTTCATTAGGCAAGGAATGAAACTCCTGACTTCTAAACTTCTCCTGCTGTGTCTGCTTAATAGCTGCTTTCTCACAAAGGCAGGCTGGCGCTCAGGCCAGCCAGCAGAAAGGAGGCAGTGGGGCAGAACACAGGCTGCTCCTCTCAGAGCCTTTCATTTCCAGGAAGCAGCAGTGCAACGCTGGCAAAAACCAGCGGTGTCAATAATGGACAGAAATCGTCACCAGCCAGAATGTGAACATATGTCCACATTCATACAAAGGGGTAATAGATCAGAAGACAAATGAAAACCCAGCTTCTTTCTAGGTTGCTTCTAGAAGTTTTCAAAAGCTACAGTGTGGGAGCAGAATTTTATTCCAATCACTAGAAACAGCCTTCTGTACACAGCAAAGTTTAAAATTCTCACACAGGAGATGCTACTGCCTCCCCACTAGATCATAAAACCATCAACTGTGAGACAAGGTCACCCCCAGTGCCTTCGCACAACAGGAGCAGGATGTCAGCACACTTCATGCGATGAAACGGAGTTTTGCTCTGAGGTTTTGGGGTTCCTTACTCAGACAGGAAAACCAACAGACCATCTCTCCCCAAGGCACCCTTGATTCATTACAGTTCATACTGTGCCAAATAGGCCAACAGACCATAATCTTAATCTCAGTTCACTGACGGTAGGTTGTCATTCTGAACAAATATTCTTGTGAGATTAAAAGAAAGTCAAAAGGATCTATGGTTCTTAGATGCAACCTAATGCCAACCATAAAAGAGCTGTCACATCAGGAATTCTTAACCTGGGGACTTAAGTGAGCTTCACATTTAGAATGCTCAAAGCATCTATGAACCCTAAAATGATAAAATTGTCTGTGTGAATTTTTCTGGGGAATAGGAGCATCCAACAGTTTCAAAAAAAGAAATACTTTCAGACATGAAGAAAATGAAGTGATGCAAAGCAGAAAAGGCATACAGCAGAGAATTAGCAGGGAAATGATGTGGCAAGGGAAGCTACAGAGCTGCAAGATATCAGAAGCTCCTGAATCCATTATTTCCCTTAAACGAAGCTTTCTCAGTAACTAGAAACCAAAATGTTCCTAACTCTGTTTCTGCTTCACTGCCTATGTCCAGTACTTCCTTCCTTCCTTCCTTCCTAATTGTGCTCACTTGGCCCTTTTGTAACCCTGTTGGGCCAGACCCTCACCAATTTATTCCAAGAAAACATCAAGGATATTTTAACTAAATTCAATCAATCGCTTTTGATACGGCACACTACTTCGATTCAACATTGTGTTCCACTGCTGCATGACTTCTCACAAAAATCCATTTGATCATTTTGCTTCCCTTCTTCCACCTACAACAAATTTCTACTTCCAGCCTGTGATGGCAAGTGGAAATTTTAATGCTTGCCCTTCTGGGACCTCTGCCATGTGGCCCCAGTTTA